CATGCCATGAAGTTTGGTTGGTAATTGATAGAAACATTCCCTTGTTACCCCAACTATATAGAAGTTGGTTGGCTTGCCTTTTTCAAAAAAATTTGAATTTTAAATTTTTGCACAAAATTTAATTTTATAAAGAAGTCAAAAAATCATCCCAAAGGAAGCCTTAGTAAGTGCTTTGACTAAGGGGACATGCTTATGACTTAATTCAGGCTTATTCTTTTTGTGGTGTCTTATACTTGAGGTGGCTCTTTGCAATATCCATAATGTTCTTTAATCATAATCTACTTACTAGTCTCTATTATTTTCATGACAATTTAGGCTACTACTGGTGATTCAATCAATTCGTTCTTTGTTCTCTCGCCTTCTTCACACAAACACTTCATCATTTTGTGAATTATCGACTTTTTTTATGATCACATGCCATGAAGTTTGGTTGGTAATTGATAGGAACATTCTCTTGTTACCCCAACTATATATAAGTTGGTTGGCTTGCCTTTTTCTTCTCTATCAATCATGTGACTTGATTGGATATCAACAGTATTAGCACTTATAATGATATGTACTTGTTCAACCATATTTCTTATATGCTCAACTAAAGCAAGTCTTGTAAGTGCCCAAATTTGTTCTTATAGGTTTTTGCCTCTTCTAATGTATTATCTCTACTGATCTCTTACATGGATATTCCACTACCATTCTAATTTTTGTTCTTCATGTTTATGCAATGAATGGGCCATAGAATTGAAGCTTAATTGGGCAAATGAGCTTCCATTTTACTCTTGTTGGCAAAAAAAAGTGCTGCTTTCGAGAAATTTTTGTTCTAAGAAGTTAAGTTTTACAACTAAGGCTTCGTTTGAGTCGGTTTTTTTAATGCTTCTTGAAGTAGCTTTTTAGTAGAAAAAATTAAAATTTTTTAACTAAAAAACTGTTTTAAGAAGCAGTAAAAAGCCGTCCTAAACAAAGCCTAACTTTTAACAATCAACTTTTCCTACAACAGTTTTACAGCTACAATTACAAAAAATTATTGTCATCCTAAATAAATTCTTAGTTGCTTGACTATAGCGATTATATCTTCAATGTAAGTTTGTTAAATTCATTATTTAATTGGATATAAATTGGTCCCACTATTGATCACATACTCTGAAAATTAATAATGACATTTAAGCATTCAAAAGAAATTAATAAAATCAATATTTTTTAATATATTTGATTTTAGAAATGACTAAAGGAGCCTCCCCTCAAAATCGAATCATTCATAGGCCAAACAAACAACATTATTATATTAAAAAAATAATATTTGAATGTTCAAAGCATGTGGATAGCCATTCATAATCTAAGCACCTATGAAATATTAGATGGGATCATGCATGTTATGCCATTATAACTCAACTTTTACACGGAAGAGATTTAGGCTTTGTTTGGGACGGCTTTTTTATTGCTTTATAAAACAGAATTTTAGTACAATTTTTTTTATTTTTTTATTGAAACTCCGTTTTATAAAACAGTAAAAAGCCGTCCCAAACGAAGTCTTAGGCTTCATTTGGGACGGCTTTCTTATTGCTTATTATATCAGCTTTTTAGTATAAAAATTTAAATTTTTGTACTAAAAAGCTGTTTTAAGAAGCATCAAGAAAGTCGTCCCAAACAAAGCCTTAGATTTTATTTAGGACGGCTTTCTCATTGCTTCTTAAAGCAGCTTTCTAATACAAAAGTTTAAATTTTTGTACTAAAAAGCTGCTTTAAGAAGCAGAAACAAAGCCATCCATTAGGCTTTAGTTGGAATAGCTTTTTTATAGCTTCTTAAAACAATTTTTTAATATATTTTTTTATTTTTTTACTATAAAATTATTTTAAGAAGCATTAAAAGAGCAAGCCCAAATAAAACCTTATTTATCAATAAATTATTGTTCTTAATTATTTAAAAAAGCAACTGATTTTGTTAAAATAGCAATATATTTTCTTCCGAATTAATAACATAAAAAATGTGCATTATCTAACTTGCTCATTGTTTTAAATATAGAAATACAATATCTCACCGAAATAGTATATATAGGTGCTGAAACACTAAAGGAAATTCGTCATAAAAAATTATATAGAAACATTGATCGGACTTCAGATTATCCTGGTTTATTTCACTCCGAGAATATATTTTTATTAAGATTTTATTTGGGATAGTTTTTAATTATTTTTTATAATAATTTTTAGTATAAATTTTTTAAATAGTAAGAAAATATTAGTCAAAAGCTATCTCAAATAATGTATGGGACGACTTTTTTAGTATTTTGTAAAATTATTTTTTAGTATAAAAATCTCTTAAAAATAAATAAAAATAGTTGTCTAAAATTGTCTCAAATGAAGCCAAATTTCTTGCCGCTTTAACACAATTTTCTAGTACAAAAATTTTAATTTAAATACTAAAAAACTACTTAAAAAGGAAGTAACAAAATCGTAAAAACGATGTCTAAGACTTCTTCTGGGACGAATTGCTTACTGCTTCTTAAAGCAGCTTTTTAGTACAACAAAATAAAATTTTTATATTAAAAAATTGCTTTAAGAAACAGTAAGAAAGCTTTCTCAAACGAGACCTAAGATAGTTGTCCCAAACGAAGTCTAAGACTTTGTTTGGGACGATATTCTTACTACTTCTTAAAGCAGCTTTTTAGTATAACAAATATTTTTTTTTTTTTGTATTAAAAAGTTGTTTTAAGAAGTAGTAAGACAACCGTGCTAAACGAAGCTTAAGTCTCATTGAATGATATAAATTTTTTATCTCATTTTATATTTTAAAAATAAGCGCTGGTATTTGAGATGTTCCACCAAAATAATTTTAGAATAAATTTCTAAAGTTCTAATTATTATTTATTTTTTGACAATCTGAACTTCGTGTCTGCCGTACATAGCGAAACCTTTGTTCTTCAAATTGATGGTTTTAAAACAATGCTTTATATTTTTATTAAAAAAATAGTATCGAGAGATTTTGGGCAAATTTCAATTTTTTTTGGAAATGATGATAATTTTTACAAAATAAATATTTTGAATTTTATTTATAATAGCAAGAAATTTTTTATTAAAACTTCAAATGATAAAAAAATTATAAAAAGTGATAATATTTTTTTTAAAATATGTTACCGTTGTTGATATTAATGATAATAAAAATGTAAATATTAATATTAATAAATTTATTTTTAAAATTTATTTTTTTTTATATAAAGAAAATCTAATTTTAGGTTTAAACGAAGAATAATAAATATGTCAACGAGAGCATGTGACCCTGGCCCCCCATTATAACTCTGCCCATATTTGTATATTTATCCAAAGTTTTTTTTTTCGATAAAACCCACCATTGGGGTCTACGTATAAAATTAAAAACGAATTACAAATTCTTAATAGAGTAAAAGTTCGCTACAAATATAATATTTGAAATAAAATCTAAGAGCGATTATTCTAATCTATTACAATCAGCAAAAAATAAAAAGGGAAAGCAATGAAAACCACATATGAAGAGCGACTGGAAGCAATGCAACCCAATTTAAACGGGAGAGTAGCAACACACCCAGCATCATTATCAACAGCCAACAACAACTTCAACTGCATAGCTTCCACATACCTGCACGAAGAAGAGGAAACAACCCACAACTAGGAAGAAAACACAAGAACAAAAGCCCAACACCACCAAAAAAATCCCATAAAGTAGCACCACAAGGGACCCAACACCATAACAAAAACCCCCAACAACCAAACCAAACTAGAGAGAAGCCACACACAATCAAAACAAAAACTAAAAACAACCAAAGACACAAGCAACAGGAAACACTACTTCTTTTTCACTTTCTTTTGTTTTTTTGCCTACTCCGTTTGTCATCACCATGCCTAAAATCATCATCTTCGATATGAATCACATGTAAACTAATTAAACCATCCATAAGCTCAACCCTGTCATCCCCATCACCTTGGCTGGCCAAGGAAAAATAATCATCCAACAATTCGAAATGATAAAGACTCTTTTGATTGTAAAGCTAAATGAGCATCCAAAGCATCCTTCGAAATAATAGAGATTGGCACATCAAAAACCACATCGTTATTGATAAGCAGCATACCCATGATATCAATGGGTAACGGTAAAGTTTCGACAACCCTACCCTAAAAACCTATGTCTTCGATGCTCTGAAACTCTGGCAAGTTGATTTTTTCTAGCCACAATCACTGATGACCCCTTCAATGATTTCATGTGCATTTTTTAATTAAAAATTATTAATATAAATATATATTTAAGTAAATACATAAAAAAAATTTATGTTCATTTTTTGTTCTTATTAAATAAGAAAAAATCCTTAAAATGTTCACACATCCAACCAATCATTAATTTTTATTAAAATTACAATTTATATAGTTAATTTATATTGTATATATAATAAATATATATTTAAAATACTTGTAACCAAATAGCCGCTAAAGACTAATATACTAATTTGTTAACTAAGTTGACGACCACCATATCAATTACATATTTCCTTAGATATCCTCCTAAAATTTGAAAAAGGAAAATTTAATAAGAAGAAGAATAATTGGAAACAGAGGAACTTCTCTGTATAAAATTAAAAGCCCCATAACACATGAAATTTGAATCGCGCTACAGAGTAATTCGAAAATAGTTTTATTAAGGTAAGTGTTGGGGTGCTTTACAAGCAATTAGTAATAGGAATATATAGCTTTTTAAATTTTAAATTTTAAATTTTAAAATTTAAATATGTCTTATTTATTGATCCTTTATTTTTATGGAGGGCGGTGGAGAATAATTAATAGGGTCGCAAGTAAGTTTACAACCTGCCATAGTGGAATTTAGCCTTCCTTAATCACATATTTTTTTTCTTGTGTTCAGATTCTCAAAATAATAAGAAAACAGAGATGGCCGGAGCTCTTTTTTTTCTCTTGTTTGTTAGTTTCATATATAAATATTACTGTTCATAAAATGTCGACAGTTTTTTATATAAAGAGCAAGGGCCCATTAGAGAAGAGACCGTGTGGGCTCTTCTCCCTCCTTCGTCCCCTTGTTTTCTCTAATGTATTGAAGTTTTAGGTCTCTAACAGAGGAGGAAAGCATGGATACCCTTTCTTCCATTACTCTTTGGGGATACCATGAGGTATGTCTCCCTCTCTCTCTCTTTGTTCCTCTATTTTTCTTAATCCTTGTGGTGGCGCGAAGGCTGTGCTGCCGCTTCGGCGGAGGTGGAGCTTGTCGGAGTAAAAGTACGTAGCCGGTGGCCCAACACAGCTTTCTGGCCAAACGGCTATATTTTGAATTTGCGAAGCATTAATGTTGTTGTGATTAGGAGTTTCTCCTGAATTTTACAGAGAGAGGAATTGGAATGATTTTGTTTTTGCGCTTATGGATCTTTTTTTTTCTTAAGAATTTTCTCTGTTCAAATGGAGTCGCGTCATTGATATGGGTTAGAATGATGTAAAATCATGTAATTAATAGTTTTTATTATGGTTTTTTGGCAGTTCTCTCGGTTGGCAGATTTAGTCTTAGAATTCCAATTATTGAATGCAGGTGAAAAATTGTTGCTCAGGTTTTTCCAACGGTCATTATAAATAACCCTTAATTAAGCATAAAAACCTGTCTTTTCTTCGGGTTTTGCTATTTAGGAGGAAAAGTTCGTTAATTTCTTAGCCGGGCTTAGTAAATTTACCAAAAGTTTGATTTTTTTTGGCTTTCAGTACTGATACACTACCCAAAAAACCATTAAAATTCTGGCTCATTTACTTTCAATAATATGAATATCAATCTCAACAGACTGTTGAAGATCTGAAAAACAAGCTGTGGACAACCTTTTGCGAGCTTGAAGAAGTGAAAAATAATGCAAGGGAGGAAATCAGGAGAAAAGAAGACAACATCAACCAACTGATTCAGTTACTAAAAACAGCCAACCAAGAAAGAGATGAAGCCAAGGACCAGCTTCAGATTGTTCTCAACAAGCTAACACAGCCCAAATCTGCTGTACTATTTCCCTCTGCTCCCTTTTTGCAACCTGAAAGCCCACAGTTCAGGCAAGCCTTAGGCTCCTCCAGCATAACCGAATCTGAAAACCTCACTGATGTTCACAACAATCAGTCCCATGTTTCTTCCCCAACTGTGGTCGATTCCTTCGTCGACGCCTCCATTTCCCCTGACCTTTCAATAGTGAACTTTGCAGACTCCTGCAATGTCTTCATTCCACAGCCCACATGCCCACAAGATGAAGTCATGAAGGTTCTCTTCGATCGATTTGCAAAGAAACCTCTTCCAGAGAAAGGCAGACTTCTGAAAGCCGTTATCGACGCCGGCCCAATTCTGGACACTCTTTTTGTAGCCGGTTCTCTTCCTCGATGGAGGAATCCTCCGCCTCTAAAGCCATTGTTGGTTCCTCCTTTGTCAATCAGAAGCGATGATGCAGGAGCACACGCAACTACATCAACACCAATGGCTTATTATGGCGTTAACGGTGCTCTTTGTAAGGCAAAGAGACCTCTTATGGAACATTGCGGGGGAAGCCAGCAGTACTTGACGGTTAAAAGGCAGAAATCTCAGTAGTCTCTCTCAATAGAACTTTTGGCTGAAAAATTTTATCTGGGAGATAGCCTGAGCTTTGAACATTCAAAGGCTGAGTTTTTCAATTTGTACATGCAAGTTGTCTTTGAAAAATATACAAGTATCTAAACCTTTGGCATAGCTGAAAAATTAACTTTGCAAGTCTCTGTGGTAAGTCCTACTTTTGTATAGTCTTGTATTTCCAAGGTAAATATTTGCAGATTATTGGTTGTAAATTTGTGCGACAGGGCACTAGAGAGAGTGTTTGGAGATGGTAGTTGTTGAACCATTTACATTATTAAAGCATGCTAGCTTGCTTTTACATTTTTTGAAGTTATCGAGTTCAAGAAATTAGCTTCTTTGGTTTTTTTTTTTAAATGTTATTGTGGAATAACAGGAGGTGAAATAGAAGAAAAATCTACCAGTTCAGCGAAGAATAACTCTCTTTTCTATAGCCCGTTGGAATCTATGTTGGTTATTGGGTTGCACGTTGGGCACTGTGTTGATTTGTGGATCTGTCTTTGCTGTTGAGATTGGTCAACTAAGATTTTATCCTATTTTAGAGGGAGTTACAAACATATAACCCTATTTTATTATTAAGTCAAGTAACATGAAAATCATTGAGGCTTTGTTTGGGAAGGTTGTCTTCTTGCTTTCTAAACATATTTCTAATACAAAAATTTCTTGGATTTGAAATTTTTGTACTAGAAAGCCGTTTTAAAAAGTTTTATGAAAGATATCCCAAATGAATACCAAGACATGTTTCTTACTACTTCTTAAAGTAACTTTTTAGTACACTATTTAAAAATTTTGTAATAGAAAGTTGTTTTAAGAAGCAGTAAGAAATGTGTTTCAAGCGAAGTCTAAGGCTTCGTTTGGGACGGCTTTCTTTCTACTTCTTAAAGCAGTTTATAGTATAAAAATTAAGAAGCAATAAAAAAGTCATCCAAACAAAGCCTAAATTACATAAAAAAAATATTGTTCTAATCTTTGAAGATTGTCTTTCCTAATGATTAGATGTCATCAATAAACATGTTTTAATTCAATAATTGATCATAATTTTTCTAAAGCAAAATATACATTTTCATTCATATATATAATTGACTAATTGAGACACTGATGCATTACTAAAAAATTTATTTATAATGCAGTAAGAAAGTTGCCTCAAACGAAGCCTAAGTGAACTTCAATTTCAATTGATGTATATTCAAATTGAATGATATGATGAAACGAACTCATCCGCGCTATAAATGATCCGATTTGAATGTAAATGAGCCCATTGTAGAGATGAGCAAATTCTTGGAAATTTAAATATATTATGAATCATTGCAACTAAGTCAAGCCTCATCATTTTTTCGTTTTTGTGTTTCCACATAAAAAAATTCTAGCTTCTTACAACTTCTATTTATGCATTTTGAAATTTTATACAAAATTAAGATAATAAATATATAGTATATCGCTCTAAATTTAATAGTGCCAATTTGAGTGAATATCATAAATATATAAAATAATGATAGATATGATCAAGCATCATAAGAAAAATGCCAAAAATGTGCATAATTCAGCTAAAGCAAACCTAGTGGAAAATATTGATAACTTATGGATGAGCCACACTTCTGCAAAAATATATATAAACTAATAGGCAAAAATATGTGTAACTTCAGCAAAAATAAAAAACAGCTAGTATTATTATAAAAGAGAATCCCAAAAACTTTTAATATAAGAAATAAAAAAGATAAATGATAAACAAAGAGTATTAAATAATTGTAAAAAAATTTGCACTTTAAAATCCATCAAAAGATTATCATCTCACATTACTATAAATTTATAGTAAAAGCCTCTACATATTCTAAATTTTCCATTTTGCATCGCATGAAAGCTTTCTCTTGGCGAAATCCGGTCATAAATTTGTCGTACATATTCTCAAAATTCTTCAGTGGAGCTCAATAAGTGATTTTTTTAGAGCTGAATAAGTGATTTTTTTAGTGTTGAAAATAACACATAAAATTTCAGTATATGAATAAATTTTTTTAAGAATGTGCAAGCCAACATACTTGTTACGGGCTAATATATTCATGGCGGTAGAGTGAGAGAATTTTTTGTCCTAGCGAGGCACGTATATCCAGCACACAAACATATAATTGAGAGAGCAAGAAAACACCATAACTTTTTTATGTGGAAAACCCAAAAAAAGGAAAACCCAAAAAAGAAAACACCATAACTTTTTAAAAGTATACATATTTGATTAAAATTTTTGAATTGCTCTAGAAGGTGCTCATTTATTATGGAGATGCAAGTTAGCAGGTCTTCCAAAGGAAAAGCCCTTTGAGAAATGTTCTCATTTCGAATGTCAAAGTGTTTAATGCTTAGAGTAACATATGAGTGTGATTGAGCTTGTCCAAGGTAACACAATTGTGCCACTTGATTATTTCCACGCTCCATACTAACTCTATATGGGGTCAAAAACTACTTTAGTTTGAGATATCAAATGAAAGTAGTTGCTCTAAAGGTCAACTAAAGGGGCCTCCCAAAGATAATGTTATAAGCTGATTCTGATTTTACTATAATGAATAATTTGGGTGAGTTACTTACTGAGGGAACTCTCCCAATGTGATAGGAAGGCTAATTGTCCCTTATACTCGCACATATCAATTATCAAATTCATATAGGGATCCTATAGCAGGACGAAGATTTTTTTTTAACTAGACCAATACCAAGAAAAATTGAGTATAACATAACATTCACCATTATTAACCAATATTCTTAATACATTGTAATATGGGTTGTCAATCCCCGCATTAATCACAAGTAAACTCTGATGAGGGGTCTTGAGCCGATCAAAGTCGAAGGCATTAAAAGTAATAGAATGATCAACCTACGACTTCTTTTATGCTGACTCTTTGTTCACTGTGAGTAAAACTTGGTAGGATAATAATGGGTCCTTAATGATGGTTTCAATTTTGTCAATCATTTGATAATTTCTCTATGATTATTTTTGCGCCAGTTACCCTCCAATAGGAGCGTCTTTATAAATATTTATGAATTATGTGAATTGACGAAGGTAGACTTATCAGACTAGTCTCTCATTTTTCGATCTCCTTGAGTTGTTTGCATGCTTCAATTATATGTCCACAACTATGGCGAAAGTTGTAGCATTACTCCTGATTTTTTGAGTTTGTCTTTCATAGATTTGGCCACTTAAATTTTCTTCATGTCGGATGGCCATTAAGATATTTGTCTAAGTCGTGTTCAAATGTGTATACTCACTTTCTAATTGAGGCTCGCATTATGATTGTGAAGGTTAAGGGGGCATGTTATTGTTCCCTTGCTTATTTCATTGCAATGATAAATTATTGGTCTCAGGTGCATTTTTATGCTTCTCGGTGGTTTGTTAAAATTACATTTGGTGCATATTGATGGCTTTATCTACTGAGATTTGAGCCTCCATATGATTATTGCTGTCAAAAACTAACATGACGTAATGACCCGACCTAAAATTTTTAGGTTAGGGTTGATACGATTTAGAAATGGGTGGAGTTTGAGTCTACAAATATAATCGGTTTAAAATTTTGGGTCGGGTTTAAGTTAACTCGAAAACCCAAATTTTGACCTATAATGACCTGCGCAATCAAATTAGGGCGAGGCGACGAGCAGCTGAATGCATAATATAATTTATTAGTGTATATGTTAGCCGATAATTAGTTCTCATTATGATATACACTATATGCTCTTCTCTCCTCTTCTTCTTTACTTCGTCTAGGGTCTCATCTCCTCGGATCTCCTCATATATCTGGCTTCATCTACAGTTCCCTCTCTTCTCCTTCTCTAGCATAGTGTTGGTCTGGGATGTTCACCATGCACATCTCCTCGACCTTATAAAGAATACTTACACCGCTCACTGCTATTTGTATCGCATTTCTATTTTATATCTTTCCCTTTTAGATGCTTCATCTATGAGCATCTATAGATATTTTGTCATGTCGGTTTGTTACACTTACTCACCTACTTCCAAGTTTTGAAGGAATGTTTCATTTAGGGTTTTTTGATTTGTTGCAGTTTTATTGAACATTGTCACAGTTTGTCTGAAATTATGAATAAGTATGACATACATAAGCTGGTTAGAGCTTGTTTTATTTTGCCATGTATTTTGAGTTGTTGATATTCAACTTGTTAGTGTTTTTAGTTTTATTCAAGATGATTAGGACAGAGCCTTCTAGGAAAAACTCTCGTTATCAGTTCTTGATCCACACCTTAGATTTAACAAGCTTCAGAGGAGAAGTACTCCTAAGCATTTCTCCTCATTCATGTGAATTTCCGAGAAGTAGGAAAGTCTTTAACAATTATTTTATTAGCAATGAACTATTTGATAAAAAGCATGGGGAGCTTAACGAATGTGAGGATAGTCCCTATTGGAAGAAGAGAGTGAAATAATGTGTGAGCTTGCTCTTTGAGAGTAACAAAAAATACATTGCAGAGCATCACATTTGAGACTCCTTTAATATGCAGAGTAGTTGTATAGTGATTAATATATTTGTGAAGGTCAGATAACCTATCATAAGAGTTTATGCTTGATAATGAAACCCATGGGAATGGAGTGCTGAAGGAGGGCTTCAATTTGGAGCGACAACTCCTGAAAGTCATGATGATGAAGGGGTTGCCTTCTACCTCTTAAAAGAAACTCTTCCCGGACCAATCATTATAGTTCATCACGTAGAGCATTGAGCAGGATTTCAATAATGTGAGTCGGTCAACCCATTCAAGAGGGATAAGTGAAGTTGTGCTAATGAGGTTGATGTCGTGTTGTGATAGGGGATGATGCATTGACTAAAGGAGATGGGTTCTAACGTTGGTTGTTGGGTCCCTCACAAAAGTTGAAAGATTTTATTATGGGATTCTTTTATTTTTCAAACGTGATCTTTTAGGGAGGGTCATGATATCCCTTTCACAGTAGGGTTTTGCTTATCAGGGTAAAGAGAGGTAGATGCATGACATCCCTAATTCATATATATATTCCTAGATTGATGTGTGTTGGAGCGGGAGGCCCCGTTGGTGCAATTATTACACCTATTGACCATTAAAGGGGTTTCAGTTGTGCTTATACGGGTGGTATTATTTCCCATAGACAACGCCAATCTATTGTAGGCTAGTAAATTCGTGGTGGTAGAGTAAGAGACTTTTTCATCCTAGCGATTCATATATATCATATCCAACAAAAAGGTTAATAGTTGAGAGAGCAAGGAAACACAAGAACTTTTTTAATGAAAATTTACAAAAAAGGGAAAAACCACGGGGCATTACCATGTGAAAAGATTCCACAATACT